GGGGGGACGGGGACGGGACTCCCTCTCTCTATCAAGAAATAAGGTAACAGAGAAGGAAAAATGCAAGATCTTAAAGCCACCTACTTGCTTTTCTCATCATTCCAAATAGGAAACAACAGTGAAAAGGGCGTCCTCTGGCTCTGGGAGTTCTAGATACAACACGGGGTGCGAGAGCTGCAGGTCTCTCCCCTTGTTCCAAAGAGTCTTTCCACCAGGGAGAGCTCCTATCATCTATTATTGAATTTAATTATATAACCCCCCTTCAACTAGTCTAAAATAAATGTGCTTTAGTCTAAAAAAATCCTCAGGAAATAGAATTAATCTGGCTTTTCCAGTTCTGCAGTAGCTATTCGATAGATAAGAAACACCCCATCTTTTATATTAGTGTCTTCCCCAGTGTCCTTTCCTGTAACAGTCTGACACAGCGTATTGCTTATCATACACAATATCTTTTAGTAGGTAAATATATGAAGACTATTCAGAAATTCTATTTAAGAATAAAATATCTTAGCCCTTTTGTATATCAAGCCAGAATCTGAAAGTTCAAAGAATGTACATAACTTTCAAATATACAAACTGTGTGCTAAGGTAAAAAAAATAAAATGTCCTTGAGTCCCAGCTGGAGCTGGGTCCATGGCGCTGCCCGTGAGAACTTGCACTAGGAGACGGGTCCTCCACGCTGAGGGTCACTCCTGCCCGTTTCTACAACAAAGCAACAAAAGCCACTCACATCAGTCAGCCGGCACAGTTAGTTAGGGACTCGTGTGGCGATTATAATCCCAGGAATGAATTATTTTCCAAAACCCTCTGTTTATTTAGAGTAAATAAAAGGAACCATATTGTAACTCCCAAAGTCGGTCTGACAGGATTTCTGGTCTTACTCTAACCATGGGATTCCCAAACAAGATGCCATCTGCCTTGTGTGGGAATGTTTTCAAAAATAAACCAAGTTTCTATCAAATAAATAGTAGCAAAACCAGTTACATGTTAAAAGGAACAAACACTATAACCCGGCGTGATTTGTTCCAAGAATATAGAAATCAATGTGGTAAACAATTAATAGAATATAAGAACATTGGGGTAGGGTGGGGGAGAATCAAAGAAATTCGACAGGCTAAGAACATTAGGGAAATTCCTCAAAATAACACTGGGGGGCCGCCTTTATAAGCCTAACTAAACAGTCAATAGTGAAAGGCTGAAAGAGATGCCTGCTCTGCTCAGGAAGGAGGCAAGCATGCATGCTCTCGCTGCTTCTACTCCACAGGGAAGGTCCAGGGAGAGAAAGCAGTAAAAAGGAGAACTTCAAACCAACCCCACTCTTCATAGGTGACATGGTCCTGTATATAAAATCTCAGCGAACACGCACACACAACTACTGTAACTAATGAACGAAGTTAGAGGACACACGCATGATCAATAGATAAAAATAAATTTTTCCTAAAGAGTAGCAACAATCTGAAAATGACATTGAGGAAATAATTCCATCTGCAATAGCATCGAAAGATGCTAGGGAGTCAAAATACTTAGGTTAAAATTTAACACCTTATCATCTGATTTACCTTTTGATTCATTTTTTTTT